CAGACGGTGCCTCAGGAAGGCTGATAGGCATCTCAACGGAAACGGTGGTCTGGGAGGTTTTGGCCTCGTCAACAGTCTCCGCGTTGGTCTCAACATCGACCTTGACCTTCTCACGTTCCTGCTCCTCCTTCTCCTCGGGCTCTTCCGCACGAGCAGCCGTCCTCTTCGCCTTGGATGCGGATGCCGGTTTCTTCGGGGTAGGAGCGGGCTTCTCGTCGCCGTCCACTTCAACGCTCTGATGAACGGTGCCGGTGACCGATTCCGACTCCACGGTGGAAGCCGTCAAGTCCAAAGAAGACTGAAGGCTGGCGTTGGCAGCACTAGTCGCCGCAGCGTTGGCCTCTTTCATGGCGCGAGTCTGGCGGGGCTTACGCGGGGAGGTCGACTTCTTGCTTGGAGAAGCAGACCGTCCCCTACGGAGGCGTGGTGCAGTGAGAATGGCCGGGGCTTCGATCGGCGGCAAATCAAACCGAGGTGGCGGGGTAATTTGCTTCTTCGCGGACGAGGGGCTTTGAACGATGTCGGTAGGATCGAGAAGGGCCCTAACCCAGTCGTACATTTGATACTCCTTTGCCAACTCAAGGGCTGAAAGTAATCAGAACAATGTTCATATCTGCTGAAGTGTGATACTTACCAAGCAGAGGCGAGATCCAAACATTGCCGGCGATCTCGTCTTCGCTAGTCTCTGTCCGGGTCTTCAGATACTCCCGCTCAGACCGTTCTTCATCGAGCTTTGCCCAAGGGAAGGCAATCTTGAACATTCCGGTAGCACTGACAAATCCATCTTTGCTACGTCTCTATAGCGACAGGTCAACAACCATTCTATGACATCACGTTTCATTCATTCTCGGCCATCCTTACCATCAAAAAGTAGGTTTCGGGATGCTGTTGAGGAGAGTGTGAGGGGAAGATCTCGGAGCCCTTGAGGTCTCTAGGCAGCGGCGCGCGCAAGTGTGCATACTCGAAGGGGCCGAGGTTTTCAGGCTTTGTCGCATTTGACGTGCCAACCTGGGTGGGTTTCACGGCGAGGTTGGTCTTTCCCAGACGACGGCGCGAAAGAAGTTCATCGTCTGATGTCGCAGGAGGTAGAAGGAGACAGATTAGTCTGCGCACGCTTTGGTGGAGATATCGGCATGCCACGATCGAGTCTGAGCTCGGGCGCTAGCTGGAGTAATAACTTACAAGCAGGAGCCACGTCCGCAAGGATGAGAGGGTTGTTTTTCTTCGGCAATGAGCGCACCATGATTAATGATCAGGCTCGCGAGCAGGGTCAATGGAGAAGCGAGGGGTATCGGATGAGGGTTGGTGATGAGAGAAGATGCGTCGCCAAAACGGCGGCCACGTTGCAGGCGCGTCTGTCGGCGCTCTCCAGGCGAGGTAGGTCGCGAAAGCAAACACGGCACCACAAGAGGGCGCACAGAGACAAACACCGCGGGTTGAGATGAGCGGGTGATGGATAGGAACGCTCAGGCAGAGAGCCGCGACGACCCAGGTGATAATGGAATGGAAGTCAGGGCGCGGGTTCGATAAGCAGGATCAAAGAAATGCGTAGGGGAAGGAAAATAATCAGGGAATCGAAAGCAAATTGGGGAGGGCGATTGATTCCCACCGTGACCGGCTGTGACCGTCTGGGAACCCCCACAGTACCGCGCTACTGTGACACCACTGCAGCAGTGAACCAATCATAATTTTAGGTTTTGGCGGGGCAAGCCAAAACAGCAAGTATCTGCGGTGCCGGCCCATCCCCCGGTATCTGTTGTGACGTGTTTGGCTCATCATGGTATCGCTGCCTTGACGCCTCACCGCTGCCGGTTGTCCCCGTGACGCCCATCCATTACGATTTTTGTTGTTTTCGGGTTCCTTGTAATGGGTTCCATGGCTGCGGTTCGCGTAAGGTATCTACTTATTCTACCAGAAGAACCTTCCTTTACTGGTTCAAGCCCAAGGCAATGATTCAATTGTATTGAAATTAATTCATGAATTTGTATTAGGTGCTGAGTTGGGCCACCCGCATATACTATGCATAATGCCTATGCGCAATATGCCGTGAGTCGGACATTGAGGCAACTTGGGTTTGGTGCATTCGGGGCACTGGATTCGAATGAAACACGCCCACCATGGCTGCAAAGCATGAAACAGCTTAACCGCTGGCTTCGTATTTCTTCCAATTGCTGAAGCAAATTTTCCAAATGAGTAATTAGTACTACTAGTAGTAACCTGAGCACTCGAAGTCCAGACTTGTCTAAGACATATTATTGTACTAGTATGTGGTGAGTACTAGTATATTAGCGATATAAATAACCTAACTACTACGGCCATTCATATGGTAGTAGGGTAGCTCAGCCCAGCCACTACTAGTATCATTAGGTACATCTTGAAGCACATTGGATAATAATAGGAGAGCCTCAATCGAGTTGGATGAATTAAGTACAGCACGCAAACCCACCATCTCTCGCCCAATCGTCAGAGTCAGACTTCATCACCGGGAATTAGGCGTGGATGAGGAAATAAGCTACTGTAAATTGCACGGCAGCCATCCGGATAAAGAGGCTTAAACTGAGCAGATAACTGGATTGTTATCAAGCATCTATATGAGTATATCCAAGATAGTATCCCATTCAAACCAATCGAGACCGAGTAAATAATTCACCTCCAAATGCAGTTAATACTCAATGGTAGATACCAGACTGGTGCATTTCTATGACATCTCATCTCCGGCAATCCATCCAGGGAGGTGGACCTCGGTGTTTGTATAGCAACCTAGCGTGGTTTCTCATTTCTCATCCGGATCATGAAGTCAAAAGAAGGATCAAGATCCCCAAATTATCATCCGTTCCAAAAATACCCATTGCGTGGCCTGTTCCATGGATTGCTCTGGCTCCCCTTAATCTTTCGGCGGACACCAGGCAAGAAGAAGGTCTGGTCTGGCCCATCCACTTCCATCCACTCCCATCCACTCCTCCCACCGCCTTTCTTCCCCCCACTTGTTACTTTAGTCCACTGCTTCCACTCCAAAACATCCCTAAACAATTCTCTCCTCAGCAGTTTCCTGTATTCCTATCGTCTGGTACGTGATGTGCGATGTTCCTTAGTCTCCTCTGACGAAGACTCACCTTTTCCTAGTCTATATATCCCGTTTGCGAGGAGCAATATCAGCATTCTCCCTCCCATTTCCCCCCTATCTCCAAATACCCCACCAACAACAATAATCATGCCCGAGCACGAAGAAGATCTCGTTGCCTCCCAGACCGAGGGTTTCAAGGTCGGAGAGAAGAAGACCATTGAAGAGTACCAGAACCTTGGTATGTGCTATCTACGCTCGCCTGCCCCTCTCCCTGGCAATCCGATACCCCTCCCACTCCCCGTGATAGTAGCCTCGTGGCATCCAACATCGCCGCCGCCCCCTTGCTTGCTGCCCCAGTCCCGTCAAACGTACATCGCAAGCATTCCTGACACTCCACCGTTAAAACTGGAAATTGTGTCTCTTGCATAATCCTATTTTCTCCATTGAAACCATCCACCCGCCTTGATTCCCGTCTAATTCGAATCTTCCACAGACAAGAATGACGAGTCTCTCAACCGCTGGAAGGCCTCTCTGGGTCTGGCCACTGGAACTCCTATTGGCGACCCCAATGACCCCAGAAAGTGCATCATCAAGTCCCTTGCCCTGGAGGTGGAAGGACGCCCCGATGTTGTGATTGATCTGTCTACTCCCAATGCGCTCGACACCCTCAAGGACAAGCCCTTCAAGATCAAGGAGGGTGCCGTCTTCCACATCAAGGTCGTCTTCCAGGTGCACCATGAGGTTCTGAGCGGTCTTAAGTACCTTCAGGTAGTAAAGCGCAAGGGTATCAGAGTTAGCAAGGACGAGGAGATGCTGGTAAGTGCTCTAATTGCGACCATCGTGGCAGGATGTAAGCCCGTGTACTCACTCGCTTATAGGGAAGCTACGCCCCCAGCACCACCGACAAGCCCTTCTACGAGAAGAAATGTAAGCTGCCCATTAACTGCCCTCCCCCATCCAACTCCACAGTAAAGGGATCCGTACCTAACACACTCCCAGTCAACGCCGAGGAAGCCCCTTCGGGCATGATCTCCCGTGGCCACTACAACGCTGTATCCAAGTTCGTCGACGACGACAACCACACCCACCTCCACTTCGAGTGGTCCTTCGACATCGCCAAGGACTGGTAGAAAGAATGAAATGAATTTTGTCGTTTAGAAGAATAGTCAGTCGGACTGGCTCTGCTTTCTGGCTTTTCCCATCACAAATTTCTTTCTCTCTTTCTTTTCCCTCTCATATATGAAACTATGAACTGTTTTCCCTGCCTACCCATATCATACTCCATGAGAAAGCGCAAGCACATCACACCATATCCCTGCCTTTTCTTCGCAGTTTTACTAGCGTTGGACCTACCTACCTATCCGCATCTTTACTATTGTCCGAGTTCTGGAATACAATATTATATCTTACACCTTTTCATTGTCTACTAGAATTCTTGTTTAAAGAATAACTACTAGTACCCACTCTTGCCGAATATATGTTATGTGTTTGGGTTTATGGTTTCCTCCATCTACAGAGTTATCGCCCTATCTACCATACATTCCCGATAACCGCATACAACTATGCATACATACCAAGGGCCGTTTTGCGTGCGGCCCGGCCCGGTCCTATCCTGTCCTGGGCCTTTTTCTCTTTTCTGTTTCTCCCCTCTGGGAACCCAGAAATCCTATGTGTGACTGACTAATTTTCTAAATTTTCAAACTGCATCTTGCTGTCGTACATCGCACCATGGGATATTTGTCTATAAATGCCTGTGATATTTACCAAACTCCCCAAGAAGATCCATGAATGATTTGTAAGAGGATGTGGGTTTGAAAAAAAGACACAAGAAGAGAAAGGGAAAGAAGCAAAACAACAGCAAAAAAGCAACCTCAGGCAAAAAAAGTAAAGAGAATCGAGAAAGAAGAAAATAGAAAGGAAAAAGATAAGAAGGGTATCACAGAAAGTAGTCAATCACCGGACTCTGGCCATCCTTGTTCTGCTGCGCCTGCTGCTCGCCCCGATGGATATCATTTTCCGGCGCGGCGTCAAAAATATTGAAATACCGTTCGCCTGTATCACTGACCTCCAGGACACTAGCTAGGTTTCCGCACCGGTAACAGTAATTCGGTGCACTCCAGACCGTACTGAGCCGGTCATCGTAGAGAACTTGATATCCTTCCTGACACAGCTGGTGAGCCCGTAGGATATGCGACATGCTATTGACCTCGAGGAATTTGCGGACCACCTGCGCACCGAAGGTATAGCCCGCTCCACGCGGCGACAGGGAGAATTCATCCCGTTCGGTGTCGGGATCCGACCACACTAGATCAGCCATGGGACCTTCGTGTGGGATTTCGCGGAACCGGTCGATGATTTTGATTTGGTCGATGGAGTGGATGGATGGGGATAGGCCGCCGTGGACGCAGAAGATCTGGTCATTGATGACCACGCTGAGGGTCAGGAAGTCGAACATATCCGTGAAGTAATGCCAGACGTTGGCATTGCCGTATTTGCGCGCGCATTCCGTGTAGAATCCGTATGATTGCGTTACACCACGCGACTCGTGATTGCCGCGGATAAGATGGACGCGCTGGGGGTATCGCAGTTTCAAGCACACGAGGAGGGAGATGGTCTCCACGCTGAACAAGCCTCGGTCCACGTAGTCGCCTGTTTGTATTGGAAGAAAGAACGTCCGTCAGCACTCATGCTCACACCTAAACCGTATTCTGTCTGGGGATCGGCACGCCTTTTCTTGTTGCTGCCCATTTCCCTTCTTTCCCCGCCAACCACCAGTATAATATCACGCGGAATACTGACCAAGAAACAAGTAGTTTGTATTGGGACAGAATCCTCCGATCTTGAATATCTCAATCATGTCGAAGAACTGTCCGTGGATATCTCCGACCACCGTGACCGGAGCCGCAATGTGGACGACATTGCTCTCTTTCATCAACAATTCCTTCGCCTTGGCGCATATCGCTTCGATCACCGAGTCTGCCAGCAACTCTTTCCGGTAGAGTCTCTCAATGCACTCGTCGAGGTCGATACTAGCTGATCCAACGGTGAGGGGCCGCACAGGACGAGTAGAGGGGGGAAATGCTTACCTGGTAATCCAGGCATTTCGGAGTAGATATATTAATCAACTCAGAAGATTCAAAGATATCTGTATATTCATGCAGTGCGCAATGTTCGATTGCGCTCGGTAATAGAAAATGGAGGCTCAGAAGTCCACCGTAAGTCGTGTATAGGTGCCCAAAAGGAAGGAGAAATGATCAACGGCTGGAAAACACCGCTATTATAAGCGGAGAGTGAATAGTAGTCGTTCCGGTTCGCGAAGGGATATGTTTGTGTGAGAGGTTCCTGCAGTAGCTCGCATCATGGCCAACGGCACACAGTACGCAGGAGCAGGAGTGAGCGTCTCACAAGGGGGGACCTGTGACCGATGTGGGAAGAGCAGGGCCTAGACGCGGGTTCGGAGGGGTGTGAGTAAAATGTCAAAGAGCTTGCGCTGCACTTAATCCATATTTCGGAAGGACTCTGTACTTCTAACAGATGGAGATGAAGCAAACCAGGATTATCGACAGGCACAAAGCCCATTCAACCCGCCGAGGGATTCCTGGCCACATTCTGCCGGGTGGCACCGCCTGCTGTTCCGTCCGCATCATCGATGAAGTCTGGCGGTTGGAGGTGTGAATATCCATACATCGCTTGTCTCGGTGGCTTTGCCAGCATATAACTATCAGAAGGCTACATTATGCATAATGGCTTTGAGATCTGGTGCTCCGGAAGTGCGAAAGATCTCCTGCCAGCACCCATATTCTGTACTAGAGTGAAGTATTTGAATACGGAGTTCAGGCCGTCACATCTAGAATTGGAAGTATATCAAGTTGGTCTATGCAGCTAATCTGTACAAATGCTCTTCCCATCTCTCCAATTGGGTATCACTGCTTCAAGAGTCCTGCACTCTGCCCCTGTTCTTCTTCATCCGTCTCATATTCTTCATCTGTTTCCTCCTCTTCGTCCGTTTCCTCGTCCGTCACTTCCTCGTATTCAGAGTCGGTTACCTCTTCCTCTGTTTCTGTCTCTTCCTCCGTCTCCGTCTCGGGCTCCTCAAGCCACTGGTCGAGTGACTTCCCCTTCGCTGAGGAGGCACTCGCTACTCCGCGACCATCCCGTTGCCTGCCCGAAGTTGCAGCGGTACTTTCATGCTCCTTAAGGGCTCGATCAAGCCGCTCGCCCGCAGTCAAGGAGGACTTATCTACCACGTTTGGTTTAATATCGTTCTCTCGGAGGCGTGGGTCGGGCTCTTGTCCGGACTCAACCCATTCAGGGAGGCTTTGATAGCCATTCAAGCCAAGCATTCCAGCGTCGGGACCAACAACGAGGGTCGAGGAGCCGATCAGCAGGTCCTTGCGTGTTTCTGACGGGCTTGGGGCGTGTGGAACGGGCTTCGGGGCAAGTAATAGCAGATTAGCCAGTTGTGTAGAAGAAGGAGAAGCGAGCAAAGCCTTGTATAGGCGGGCACGGTCGCGGAGATCGTAGGAAGGATCATATCGAGCAAGGAGAAGAAGGTACCGCCAAAGCAGCGTCATCCTATCTTCTTCGGGTTCATCACTCTGCGGTTTCTTGTCGCCTGAATCCTCTTTCCGCTCCTCTTCGTTCTCCGTCCACTCGTTGACGATCTTCTCAGGCTTGGGCTCTGGTGGCGGCACCTCCTTTGGAGGGTTTCGCAACAGATGATGCAAATATACCTTAGCCCCCAGGAGGATGATCTGCTGCTTAACGGCCTCGGATTCATTTGCAAAGTCTTGTACCAGAATGCGCAGGATATCGGCCGCAATATTTCTCTCAGGCGCGACACCGGCAAATTCTCCGACCAGCCAAATAATGGTTGCTCTGGCATCGGGATTCTTTGTTAATCCCAAATGCTTGACAAGCTGAATCACTGTCTTCTCGTGTGAAGGTGGGTCCTGCTGGATGAGGTGTCTGATAACGGTCAACGACTCTGAAACAAGGTTGTCGTCCAGACTCGTGACTTGACTCAAAAGAACGCGGAGACAATGATCAGCACTTCGAGGTTCACTCTGTGCGCAGCGTCCTATAGCACGCACGCTTTCTCGCACTAGGTCTGGGTCCGAGCTTTGAGAAAAGTGTTCCAGTTCGCTGAGGATCACGCCTTTCAAGTGCAGCCCGCAGTGGGGAAAGAGTAAAGTGAGTACTTCCAGCTTGAGGCGCCAGATATGAGGCGGATCTACCGCGTGGACCAGGAAGTGCGTAGTGTATTTCGTAAACGGCTTGGGGTGTTTTAGGGCAACGGCGACAATGTTATATAGCGCAACGTGCTGCGTATCCTGTGGGCTCCGAACCAGCGCAACTAGAGGACCAACGGCGGCATCGAGATACTCTGGAGTGCCGAGGTAAAGGAAACACCGGACAACGCCAACAATCACAGCGGAGTTGCGATTTTGTAGCAACAGCTTGCAAGTACGCAAGAAGAACTCAAGATCAGGATCCAGCACAAGCACTTCATGCTCGTTATCATCACCATTGCTCTCCGGCGCCTTATCGTCCTCGTAGAAGCCTTCAGAAACTGCCTGTTTGCCTTTCTGGACCTTGCGAGGGAAGCACTTCCTGGCGTAAAAGGTCAGAAGACGCAGTGTTGAGAGTTGGCTCCATTCGTCCATGTCGACGAGCTTCTTGACAAGGCTTCGGTAATGCTTATGGATGAGATCGATCCTGTCCGGACAAACGTCTAGGAAAGCGGCGACAGCAGGCCCGAGGACAAAGTACTGGCTATCACCAAGCAAAGTAGTAAGATACCCAATCAGCTGAGGGAGTGTACTCGGGTCCAGGCGATAACACTTTGGGATTGCCAGTGCTGCGGCTTTGCGAACATGCGGGCTCATGTCGCCGCAGCCTCTTTTGATTGCAAGGGACACAATCTGACTGATGACTGGCACTCTGATTCCGGACATTGTACGAAGCGCCATAGCCCGCGAGTGGGGGTTCTGATCGGTAAGCGACTTCTGGATGGCATTGATAGATAGGAGTGCAAGGTCCGGTTCCGCCTCCGCATGATGGACCAAATAGATGTAGACCAACTTCTTGACCTCAAGATTCGAACTAGCGACGTTTTTGACCACAGCCGAGAAGAAAGGAAGGGAGGGTTCGGATCGGTACATCAACTATATGGCGCAAAACCAAAAGAGCGTTAGACAATGGATTCTTGCATTTAGGCATCTCGGGGCCATACCGTAATCACCCGGCGCATGCCATCTAGGACCTCCCGGTCATTTCGACTATCCAGAAGCTTTTTGATGTGAGCAGTAGCCAAATTTCGAGACGATAAACCCGTGCTAGACCCCTTACTCAGGGCTGCTGACTGGGCTGCTTCGAGGGTGAGCTCACGAGCTGCTCGCACGATCAGTTAGTTGATTTGTCCAGATGCGGAGGACAATTGGCGAGCAACTGTCCGCGGTGACATTACCTGTTTCCAGCATCGTGGATATTCTGGAAATGGTCTCCATTTTCGCCCCGAGGTCCTTCGCATAGACGCAATGACAGATCAGACCTGGGGAGGGGGTGTCCCTAATAGAGGGGAGCTGGAGGAAGTTGGGAGTTCCGCGGCGGCGGGCGGGCAGCTGACATGACGATTGGGTAACGTGCTTAACTACGGCTACTTTCCATCATCCGCTAATCCCACTTGCTATCTCGGTAACCATCACCAAGCAGGAGATTAGGAGAACTTATTATCGTTCACCCCCCTGATTTATCTTCTTATCAATGATATTTAATTTCTACATAGACTCTACTATTTATTTTACCTCCAGTAAACAACCAGATGTCTCGACGGCCTTCGATGGGAGAGGCTCATGACTTGCGGCGTCATGTCTGTGTGACTGAGAAGTCGCTTTAGAGCATGGCAACTCCTTTTGTTGTTTTTACGTCGTGTTTTGATTTGGAGGAAGTAATATGCTGAAGAGAGATGACGTGATTAGCGAAGTCCAGCAAAACCTGCTTATATATTAACATCAGGTGATGGATCGTGGCCTGAAGCCACGAAGTTGGCTAACTGGCTCCTATCCGTAGAACGGTGAAGTAGGATGACCCCTTCATCCCAGACATCTTGTCTACATGATTTAAACTCTCGCCATCGTGAATAGTCCCTTCACAATCTTCGCTTTACTTGTGATACTGGGCACGCTGCTCGCCGTTCCCACAACGGACTCTCGCGGCACGGCATCGTCGTCCCTGATCTGGGTTTCCTGCTTGAGAGGATCGCCGTCAGCATCAGAGCTGGAAAGCGCTGATATCTTCCATGCTCGCACAAGTCCGAGACAAATGCATGCTGCCATGGACATGAAGCCGACAAATATCTGGGCATGCAGGAAGTTAGTTCCGTTGTCGGTGCGTAGCCAAAGAGCGATCGGTTCAGCAAATGTGCTCGGGATGACGACTGAAAGCCAGAAGATCGACAATGCAGATGGCAAGAGTTGTAATCCCATAACCTCCGCGCCAACTGGAGCTACAGTAGTCGTGAAGGTCGCAGCAAAAGGACCGCTAATCAACGCATAGTAGATAAGGACTCCGAAATCTTTGGCAAAGACCCAGATGACGAGAGAAAACAGGCCAGCCAAAAAGGTACAAGCGAGAGCGGTGTTCAGCCGTCCAAAGCTGTCGCTGACGTACCCTATAACAGGTCGCCCAAGGCCTCCTCCAAGATTGAACATGGCACCAACAATTGAGCCTTGAGATGCGGTCAGGCCTACGGTGGTTGCATAGTCGGGAATGGAGAACAGAAGGGCCACGTAGCCCAACACGCCAAAGCAACCCCAGGCCAAAGTGAGCAGGAAATCTGGTCTTCTTAAAAGCTCTGTATGGAAGGCGATTTGAACAGCTCCAATGGCCTTTTTTCGATCCCTTACAATGATAGCAGAGAAGCCGCACGCAGCAGCGGAGACGACCGCCAGGATGCGGAAAGCCCAGCCAATGCCCCATCTCTGAATCATGGCACTTGTAGCCAATGAATAGATAAGGCCTCCGATTCCCGATCCAGCCGTTGCAATACCATTGGCAAGGGACCGACGGCGGGTGAACCACTGAGGAATAATGCCAACAGTAGCACTGAATTGCATGCCCATGCCAAATCCAAAGCACAGAGCTTGGCTGAGGAACAATTGCCAAATCTGACCCGCCCATGACGCTCCCAACAATGCCGCGGTCTGCAATGTGATCCCGATCATCAAGGTAACTCTTGTACACCACATTCGAGTCGTGATGGTTGCGACTGGCGCGATGAATTGAGCCATACTGAGGGAGAGGCCTCCGACAAAGGCATAGTCGAGGTCTGATGCTCCTGGGAATGTATTTGTGTCCAGATAGTGGGCCAGAAAGACACCAAAGACCATGAGTGAGGCCTTACACTGTTGATCCCCCAAGTATGAGCATTGACCAGAAAGACGCACAGCACACACATCCAGCCATAACCACCGTCAACCTCTATGGGTGCTGATGATGGAGTCTGTTCGGGGTCGACTAAATTGTCGTCGGCTGTGCCGTTCTTGGACAGCACCGTCTCCGAAAAGTTGGTAGAAGGATGAATGGCGTCGTGGTCAGGCACAGCCGCTGTCATCGTGTAGCTTGAGCCACCACCCTTCTCAGAATGCACATCTCTGCTCATCACCAGCAGGAGGGTTTGAAAAGATTATTATACGAAACAGAATGAAGAGGAAGCGATGCCACAGTTTGTCTTCGAATGAATGGCATACTAGATACATAAGTAGTGATCTTAGAAGGCCCATTGAGTCCCATATATATGAAGACATTGGCAAAGTAATTGAGAGGGATCTAGTATCTAGTTGACTACCACTCTGGTTGAGTCATACCATCGTTGCACTTATTGTAACTGTCCGACTAACATAGAAATGGCGTACCCCAGCTTGGCGTGCATAAGGCTATCTATACACCCCTGTAGATAGTCTCCAGTTATGATGGAACCTTAGATTAAGTGTGGAGGCATCTACTATAGTGTCTTCCGGTTATCAGTTGCTTTAACCTTTCTTGATTCGAAGCTAATCAAGTACTTTCCCACGCCTCATTATGCTGATAGGACACACCCTCTGCTTGTCTTCAATGCCTAGAGGAGAAGATGACATGAACAGTACTAGTGTATGATCATAGACGGAGCAGGTAAGCGCTGATAGTCCCTAGCCGTACTAGGAAGAATAAGGAAAGGTTCCAATTAAACCTACTAGGTGGCGTGTGATTGTTGTCTGATATATTATCTTGACTCTTAGCACCAACTGAAAATAGTTCAGGTAAGTAGGTATACGATTAGCCCATTGCAGCTGACTGAGCTGCGTTATCGAACTTACTAGAATTGAAGAACATTGGTCACGTTGTATACATCTAAACGAACCTCCCTCTTCTATAGTACTAAATGCTGCGGTAGCAATTGAAAGCACCAATCAGAATCCCCACATCAAACGGTTCAACCACCCTCTGCAAATCCTAACCTAACCACTAGTCTAGTAGTGGTAGGTAAGTACGTGGATAGCTCAGCGCTAATGCATTCCAACCCGTCCATCTATCCACCTAACAAACCATCTATCCCTCTACTATTCATCCACAGATTCAACCCCACCCGAACAATACTACTTAATACTATCTATCATGACCCTCCACCCCCCAACCCGACAAATCTACACCACCAGCGACCGCATAACAGATTTCCTCCAACACATCATCACCCAAGATGCCCCCACCACAATACTACTCATATGCTCAACGAAGGAACAATTCCTAGAACAGTTATTACTCGCCTCAAGCTCCAGAAGTGAAGAACACAATCAACATAATCACATACTTACCAAAAACACCATCGGGGTGCTGTCCAAATCAAGCAGCATTAAGTTAGTGTACTGCCCTACGCTGGAGCATCTTCGAGCGTATTTGTCTGTGGTACGATCGCCGGAAGGTGGTGTAGGGTTACAACGAGAGTTGTTGACTACTACTACAGAGGAGAAGGAAAGGCAGACGAAACAACCACCACCTCTGATGGCTATTCTGAACCCGTTGGCTTTACATGTTCCTACTTCGGAGTTCTCTGCTCAGGGGTTGTCGAGGACGTTTGCGGCGGTGGTGGAGGTGGCGGATCGAGGGGGGATGGATCTTGTGCTGTGTGAATGTAGAGATGTTGGTGATTCTATGGGGAGTGGGAGGGGGGAGGTCTCATGGCATACGCAGGTGCCGTTGTTGAACAGCTCTATGCGGGTTGGAGAGGAAAGTACTTCGTATCGAGGGGGTGGAGTACCAGTTAAAAGGGTCGTGCAGCGGTGGTTTGAGTTTAATGATAATGAGGCTCCGATTACAGACACTAAAATTATAGACCTCTGACGATTTGAATGACAGTAATAGAGCAAGATATGTAATATAAGACAATGTAAACCCCCATAATCAAACGGGTATCCTTGAACCAGCCCTAAACTCCCGATTTGACACCGTAATGAATTCCCAAACTTATAGGCATTTCTCCATGTCCGTGATATAGAGTTTGATATGTGACTCCAACTTCAAGTATTCATCGTGAGCGCTTTGAATTTCGCTTTCAATGTTCTCCTTGAGATCGGCCATCTGGGGAAGAATTAGTAAAGCATGTAAAGCCGAAGGAATCAAGCGATATTTACCTTCTTTTCAGTTTGTTCGATCCGGATTCTCCTCCGCTCCATGTCGCGCTGCTTTTCAGCTCGCTCCTCCCTGAGTTGTTTCTGGACCTCCCGGAGTTCTTCCATACGCGCCTGCGCTACTTCCGCTTTTTCTTGAGCATTCTTTCGTAGAGCCTCGATCCTCTCATTCCATCGTGCCAGCTGCCGCTGCAGCAACTTCTCGGTCTGCTCCACCTCCCTAACATTGTTCCCTCGCTCGGAAATGGCTTCTCTATTTCTAGAGGCCCTTGACTCTTCATCATCTTCCTTTTGCAGTTCCACGGATATATCTTCGAGAAGGCGCACGCAGGCTTGCACGTCGTTACTAACAACCGTAAATGTGTCTGATGATGTTTGCAGAGCCCTCGCTCGTTTTTCCATCGCATCGATTTGCGCTTTCTCGCGGAGGAGATTCTCCGACAATTCACTCAACGAGGCCTGGAGAGAGATGGGGCTCTCCATTACATAAGGACGCAGTTTCTCAACTTCTTGCCGCGTACGAACGACCCTTTCTGTCTTCTCCTCGAGTTGCGCTTGCCGTCTTGCCTTATCCGCCTTGGCTCTTTCTAGCATCTCGGCCACTCGCTCTTGGTTGCGCCGCAGTTCCAGTAGTCGCGCTTTCAACTCGTCGTTACGTCGTACCTTGTCCTTCACTTGTGCCTCGTTGGCCTTCATAGTCCGGCGCATTTCTTCGAGGCGCTGCTCCATCTCCTGGTTCTCCGTGTACAGGGTGTCAATGCGCGATTTGACCTTCTCGCCCTTGTTGAAGTGCTCATCAATAACGGGCGTTTGAGATTCGCGGAATCTGACAAAGTTGATGAGGTAGGAAAATATCTTGACGAGACGATCATGAGTAGGCTTGGTAAGATCGGTAAACATAAAATCATTGACACCGCACTATATCTCCGTATGCCGTGTTAGATCCAACTGAGCTCGCCTGGTTTAGTATAAAGCGGGTTCATACGCACCTCCATCATCAACCGCCGTAAGCTGGTAAAGAACCCCATGAGGTTGCGCGTGTCAGTAGGTACGATGTCGGGGTAGTCGCCGCAGATATCATCCGCCGCAGCTCGCATCGCTGGCTCTACGGTTTCGCGTGTCATATTCATGAGGAGCTCAGCAAACCATTCAAAGACCATTTGAATCTGTTGCGGGTTTGGCTTGATCAAGTCGGCGGCGGTGAAAGGGATGCCGATGTCATTAATGCATCCTGCGATTTCCTTGTCCGGCTGCTAGCAGTATTAGATATTGTAAGCGAAGATGCCTTGTTCGACCGTGAACTGACCAGGCGCATGAGAGCATCATTATCATCCTCCTTTTTGCGACCTCTATTGTGGTGTTGCTGGGAGCCATGGAATTGCTGGCTCATTCGGCTGCCGTACGCCATTGTTCCTCGCAGTCCAAGCTAAGACGATGAGCTACAGAAATCACTCGAACACGGCCAAGGCAGAGTGGTGGCGAGATTGGTGCCCGCTCGATGGATGTTATGATGATTGTTTACTGCGCAGGACTCGCATGGCAACCAGAAGCGGATTAGCGCGGTGGGAGAGGGGCATTGCAGACAAACAATGCAAACTTACTCCACGCTTCCCTTTTTCGATGACTCTTTGCGGCGGCCACAGCGGAATTACCTGTGGACAGTGAACCAGTGTTAGAGAGTGCTTTCTTGCTGTGAACGCGAGGTTTTCCAGCTCACGGCTCTCAACTTCTCGGAGTATTATCGCTTCTCGGCGTTCTTCAGACATCATGGCAGCTCCCACATCGGCCGCCGCCAAGCCGTTCGAGTAAGTCACCTACTTCACATCCAGGAAGTTCTAGTCCTTTGGATCGCTAATATTTGTTCTTTCCAGCATTGTCGCGACCTACAATGACTTGCTCCGCTCCGACCCCGACCTGACTATGCCAATTGCAGCTATCGAAGCTCTGGTACTACTCCTTACAAACTCTCCCTCCTCGACGATATCCGAGACGCTCGACCTTCTCGAGAAATCTACTGCACACCTGAAACAGTCGATTCCGAACCCCATTGGTCTCTCCGCTGGAACCGACCTCTTCCAGCGGTACCTGATCACTACCCTGCAGAGACCCGGACAGCTCGGGCCCGCAGGTGATTTCAACGCGATTAGGGCGCATCTTCTGTCCAACGGACGGTTGTTCATTAGACGTGCGAAGGAGAGTCGAGACAAGATCGCGGCGTTTGGACGAGGCTTTGTACGCGATGGAAGCACAGTTTTGACGAACGGAGGATCGCGAGTTGTCGCTTCGTTGCTACAGAAGGCCGCGGATGAAAAGGGCGGCCCATCGGCAGTGCGGTTCAAGGTGATCTATGTCCTGTCATCGGCGAAGGGTACTGGTGCGCATTCCGATGAGCCGGAGGGTATGGAGACTGTGCGCGCTCTCCGGGCGAAGGGAGTTCCTGTCGCTACGATCCCGGAGTCGGCTGTTGCATACTCGATGGGCAAGGCCGATACTGTCATTGTCGGTGCTGAGGGTGTGGTTGAAAACGGTGGAATCGTGTCGCGCATGGGAACCTACCAGATTGGTCTTCTTGCTAAGGCTATGGGCAAACCCTTCTACGTTGTGGCGGAGAGCCACAAGTTCGTCCGTATCTACCCGCTCAGCCAGTATGATTTGCCGATTGAGCAGCGCGTGATCGATTTCAAGACTGAAGAAGATGTTGCCGACGAGGCGAAGCAACAGCAAGCTTTGTCTACGGATGCAGCTGTTGCCAAGGCCGTCAAAACGGCAGACAGTGCTGATGTAGTTGACTTCACTCCCCCCCATCTGATCTCTGCCTTGATTACCGACAGCGGTGTCTTGACGCCAAGTGCGGTCAGTGAGGAGCTGATCAAGATTTGGTTCTAATTCTCTATTTCCATTCCGCGCCCTTCCATACAGGCATGAGGCGTGGAGCTTGTGATGTCTTTTAAAAACTGAATGAAGCGGATTGGCGTTAAGGTCATGATATCTCCGGATACTCAAGGTGTTTATTGGTTTGCAATGTGATGTCTGTCTGCAAATCTCAAAGAAAATAACAGCTGAATAGAACTAGGCTTACAAGTCCGACAAGGACCGTAGCAATTACTATCTTTCAATATACAAAATGCAGAATCCCGGCATATTGGCTATTCACAGCCACACCCGCCGCCGTTGTTTCATGCCACACTAAGATAATCTTAGTACGCCTCACCGCGTTAGTGGTGTTTCTGTCTTAAGGGGGCAGATGTAGCTGACTACTAGTCATCATTCTTGCCTATGAATTACGTGAGACATTCGAAGCGTGTGAGCCAACCTGCTCTATACTTGCGTCATAGTATGTTTGTTTGTATTTGTATTGTAAGCCATACGGTTTGCGGGGGATTCTGCCGAGGCTATCCTCATTCAACATTCAAGGCAGTAGGCGGTGAAGGAGGCAACGGACTTGCCATATTAGGCTGGAAGTACTCCGTAATGGCTTCCCCCTATGATTTCATTCCGCGATGGACATCTTGTTCATGAACTCCTACCATGTAGTTTATCTACCCCCCTGCAGCCGCCATTGGCTTTCATTTTCTTACTGTACCATGCTCCAAGCCTTGTTCATGATGTGTCATTCGTCTTACTCCCTGCATTAAGCCTGTACACCTGATACCGTCGATCGCAAAAGACTTCCGCCCTACGTCTCCTTGTCTGCGCGCAGTTTCGTATTCGTTTCTGCTGATCGGCCGCTGCACGAGCCAGCCTTACCAGCCCGCGGTCATACTCCGTCTTTTGCTATAGGATCCACCTCAAACGTCCAGCACTCACCCCCCTTCCTGCCTGTGTCAGCTTTCTGCATGTGTCAGATTTCGTCTATCTATATAACTATTGGGGTGCTGGCTCTCCGGTTCCTTGGATCCATGTGAACCGACGAATTTCTCCTATTGCTCTTTTCCCTGCCCGCAGCATGTCTTCGGCCGTTCAACCACCTAATGGCTCCCCTTTACTACGGCCCCGTGCCGTTCCGGGGTCGAAGAATCTAGACGATTTAACGGCAATTTCCCCCTTGGAGAAAGCTGATTCGAGGCAAGTACTTGCATACGGAATTACTAGAATGGCTGGTGCTAACTTTCCTTACTAGTGGTCGCTCAACCCCGGTCCCCGACGATGCTCCCCCCTCCGCGCATTCAATCTCCACGGCAAGAAAGCAAGCACGAGCCCGGACTCGAATATTTTATACAATCGATTATGTTCCTCGAGTATCTCATTTTGACCCGCGGAGCGAGTACCGCGACTTCCGCGGCTTCTATACCCTGTTTTGGATTGCATTGTTTATCATGGTCGTTACTACGATGCTTCGGAATATCAAGGATACTGGCTATCCCCTGAGGATCAGAGTATGGAGCCTGTTGTCAGAAAATGTGTGGTCCATGGGGTTCAGTGACGTGGCCATGGTGGTCAGTAGCGCAGTGGTCCTGCCGCTCCACCATCTCATACGAAAGAGCGGTAGCTTGATGCGTTGGGGAAGAGGTGGCATGGTCGTGCAAAGCATCTTCGAGGCAGGCTGGGCCATTCTATGGATCAAGTAAGTTGGCATCTCACTGTACCTTCGGCTAGATGCAGCAGCTAACCAGGCTCGTAGTTGGCCGTTTATGATGCGCTGGACCTGGACGGCCCAGGTCTTCTTCACCCTTCATACTCTAACCATTCTGATGAAGGTGCACTCCTATGCGTTCTACAATGGTCATCTGAGTGAGACGCAGCGTCGACTAGCGTCGCTCGACAAGCCAGGGAAAGTCTCATTGGAAGCGCCAATCCCCTACCCAGATGCATCCCCCCGTCGACGCTCGGTAGCCCGGCGTGCGAGCCACCATGCGCGCTCCGAGTCGATCGCTGAATTGCGCGAGGACTTGGCCACAGAGCTCACCTCTCCTATGGGAAACGTCACCTATCCCCAGAATCTTACCGTTGTTAATTATGTCGACTTTGTATTCTGCCCCACTCTCTGCTACGAGTTGGAATATCCTCGGAGCAAGGAAAGACGGTGGATCGAAATCGGCTTGAAGACTTTGGCTATCTTCGGATGCATTTTCCTATTGACATTGACAAGCGAAGAGTTTATCCTCCCTGTCCTGACAGAGGCCAATATCCAATTGCACAAGGTGTCAAGCGCGGCCGAAAAAGCCCTGATTCTCGCGGAGACCATCAGCATGCTTCTGTTCCCCTTCATGGTCACGTTTCTTCTTGTGTTCCTGGTGATCTTCGAATATGTTTTGGGCGCCTTCGCGGAACTAACTTGTTTCGCTGATCGTCACTTTTACTCAGACTGGTGGAATTCATGCGACTGGTTAGTGGAAGCTTATGAAGCCTCTTTGATGATGGCTACTAATTTGGCTACAGGCTCGAGTTCTCCCGCGAATGGAACATCCCAGTTCACCACTTCCTCCGCCGCCATGTATACTTTCCCTCGCTATCAAACTTCTCCAAGCCGGTCGCCATGTTTATCACTTTTCTCGTCAGCGCCATTGCCCACGAGTTGGTTATGAGCTGCATCACCAAGAAGCTCCGTGGCTACGGATTCTTAGCGATGATGCTCCAGCTACCCATCGTTGCGGTACAAAAGTCCAAATACGTCCGAGGAAAGACAACACTAAACGTACTTTTCCCCTCCTGAATACTGTGCCCCAAACCAAATACTGACTCAATCCAGAACCTCTTCTTCTGGCTATCTATGATTTTCGGATTATCACTGGTAAGCTTACTAACAACTTTACACCCGGACTTCTCGATCAACTCTAACCTACCGCAGATGTGTGCGCTTTACGTCCTCGTCTAGACGCACGAAGCCAAAAATCCCTATTAGCAGTTGGCTACAAATCTCCCCGCGACCTACCTGGCACCACCCCATCTTATTCCGAGTCTGTAACATAGCATATTCGACGTACATTATCGTTTGAGCTTGTCTCTTATCATTTCGCTTTACATATATACTACCATACACATATACATGCACGCTTACATTCTATATACCCTGCTTGTTGGTTTGGCATTGTACATCATCCGTCGGATTTATTGCATATTTCGTCTTACATTATGTTTTCTTCCATTTATCAGTCATATTCTGAGAAGGACTACTTTGCGTTAAGAGAAAGATAATAGATTGGTCTATCTTAAGTGTTGATGGTATAGATGGACTCATGTACTATAACACCTATTATATTGATGGATTTAGATATACAGCTTACATACTGAGTATGAAGAAAACCAACAGGGTAAAACTAGGTGGGATCTGGATACTCTTTACGATCAAATTCAGCTATACCGAGCTAGTACTACGACCACTACTTTCTCTATATACCCATATTTCGAGTATATGACTCGTTGTCTAAGCCAACAAATATCGGAGACGCCAGTTACACACAGCCAAATCGAATATAAGACCAAAGAAAGAGATACTGTAAATTGTTTCACAGAAACAAACCGCACTCACCAGCGGCTTCATGCCTGAGTACCTGCCTCTATAATCCAATTTGTATTCCTAGAGCAACACAGCCAAAACTGAAACGCCGATAATGAAACCAAAAATCAACTAATGACAGAGATATGCCCATGCCTAGAACATGAAGCACTTGTATTGCGAGAGCGATAGATATCCAGTATCAAACAAAACCTGTAGCGGTGTCTAGTCCGTCAAGGACAAGAGACACGTGACGTCACCGATCAAGGTGACGTACTCTTGGTTTCGAGTTGGGTGTGTGATGTGTATCATGCGAAGATGAAGTGAGCCGAACAACTTACATATGCTCAATCGGCTCTTCAGGGAGAAGAATCTCTTGGTCGCGGCGAGAACTAGGAAGGCAGGCTTTGAGCGGCGGGCGGACAATATCGTTGAAGAGGAAGGTTCCGTAGACGAGGAGCGCGAAGCCGGCGACTTGTAGCCATTTGAAGGTCTCCCAGCCCAGAGCGAGGGAGACGAGCCAGATGAAGAGGGTCCGGCAGGTGTCAATAGTACTGCGGGAAGTAGCGGATACGGTGTGGGTGACGGAGAGACCGAAGAAATTGAATCCGCTGAGATTGTCCCAATTAGTATGTTGTTGACGGATAAGGAGGGGTGTTAGGAAGAGACTCACCCAATACTGATCATGATCAAGAAACTGGACATGGCGATTGCTCGGTTATGGAAAACCTGGCTCCATCCTTCCTTTGCATCGAAGTAGCCGTAGCGGCCGGCCTCCGTACGTCCGATGGTCAAGTACAAGATGATCGAGCCAATGACGGTGACAGAGAACCCGAAGATACCTTCCCAGCCAACGACCTGGAGGGGGTCCATTTCATAGTTTTCCAAGATCCACTCTTCCAGAACGAATTGGGACGCAGTGAAGATCTGGGCTGCGGCTATAAGCAGCACACCAACGACAGCTTTCAGTGCTTCCGGAGACCGTGTTGTTGCCTGGACTTCTCGGATAGCATGGGTCACTACGGCAGCAGCACTTCCTTGGGTGACGTCGTGCCCTTGGTTGTCGGCGAAGAGGGCACCTGCAAGACCGACCAGAGCAACGCCTAAGACCACAATGAACAGCGCCAACCAATGATAGAGATATAGTTTGCGGTGGAGGAAAAGAACACTGAAGAGGCCGACGAATAGAACGAGGGCACCGCGAGTCATCTGGTAGACACTGGCAGCAACAAAGAGCAACCCGACGTTCATCAGAGTTGTGCCCGCGATATCGCAGCACGCTGGTGCAGCAAGAAGAAAGATCTTGTATCCTCGAAGGTGAACGCGACCGTCTGCTAGCGTGGCGGGCTTCGTGACATCATCTGAAGCTTCTGGCCCTCTGATGGTATAATCTTCCTCATCGTCGAGTCCTTCCGTATTGTTGACAGGGTGATAACCACCAGCTAGAAGAGGCGAAGAGTTGTTGGACAAGCGCGGAGCAAGATACCGTTGATATAGCCAGGTCATGAGAATCACCAGCCAGCTTCCCATTTCTCCGGTGAACATCTGAATACTGTCATCCAAGGGAGATTGTGAGCCGACATATGCAGACTAGGGCAAGGAGGGGAATACCTACGTTTGGATAACGGGTTGCTCGAAGGTGCGACGGTATTTGGGATAGGGCGAGTCGCAATTCCACACGCATTGCATGTCCTGTTCATCGGATGAGCGAAGAGGTGTGTGGCATAGAACAGTAGGGAAGTCAGACCTGGTATTTGTTGAGGATGGTGTTGCACACCCCGGTGACGAGCATCATCGTCACCAGGAATGGAACGGCAGCTTTATTCGCCATGATGACCCGAGTGTGGTAAGAAAATGAGGGACAAAAGGAGGAGTTGTTGAATAGTACAAAGCAGGGAAGAGGTAGAGGGGAGGTACTAAGGGCGATAGATAAGCCACTCGGTGGCTCACGTGGGTGGAGTGATAAGGTGGTCACAGGGAGGGAGGGAGTGGGTTAGTTGGCCAAGTCCGAAGAAGCTGACGATGGGTGGGAAGGCAAGAAGGAATTCAAGGCACATTCAAGTAGAATGGCGAGATTGATATTCGGAAGGAAGCTAGCAAACAGGGAGCTATTGAGCACCCATCCTGGAAGACCGAGGATAATCGATGGGAGAAACACGGAACAAAGCAGACGAGGATGATGGGTGGAAGATGGAGGGAGAGTTCATGGGGAAGAAGAGCCACAGCTTTCAGGTGGACAGGCTAACCTTATCGGCAGCTGATCCCGGAGTGGGTCTTGTCACGGGTCCGTATGGGGCGTATCATTACGGCTGACATACATACGGATAATCCAAAGTGAACTAGTTAACTAACTCTAGTTCTAGTTTAAGGACTAAGTATGCAATGCATCGAGATGTATACAGATGGAATATTGGTATAATTAAAGCTAGACTAGATGGTGCTTCAAAACAGCCATGGGATACACATCCAGTTATCCTCCTCAGCCCTAATTCTTTCTCCAGGCCGTGGCGGTTCTCACTCTTCAAACCATCCCCCGAGAGAGCCTTGCTCCCAGGGCGACTCAGCAAATAAACCCTCTTTTTTTATCACTCGCTCCGTCCAACGCCGCGCCAGAAGAATACCGACCAGTGAAAAGTAGAAAAAATGAAACACACAACACGTCACGAACTAGAAGTGACAAGTCCTCCTCGGCTTAATGTACAATAATCATTCGTGGTCCATGCCATAATGACATAGTAATCCGCACGCCTTTCGCCGGCTCAAATCATAAAAAGCTTCTCGTCACAGGCTACCTGCCTATATCGCACATATCGCGATGCCGCTATCGTCAACGTTGATCGCCCCGTCTTTGCGGTCGACCAGATCCCAATCAAATTCCTCCCATGGATCCGTCATCATAATTCCATCTTCTAGCCGGCCTGGGAAGGTAATCCAATCCGCTGGAAGCCAGCTGCCCTCACTCCCTTCGGTCTTACCATTGAGATCATCCGTCTTCGGAAGCTCGGTATCCTTGGGTGTTTGGGTTACGAGGCCAGTCTCAACGGAATCCGGTGTGTCTTTCGCTTGCGTGTTGGTAAACATCTCAGGGTTAAGGAATTCATCCATAGCACCGAATCCAAGGCCGCCGTCATCGGCGAACTCCATGAAGGTATCCTGTATCGCGTCGAGAGAGATCGCGCTGTTTGCCCATGGATCTTGGGGAGTTGCGTCCGCAGAGGGCCCTGGCTCAGCCATTTTGGCCGGCTCCTTCTTGCCGTCTTTGCCGGCGGTTGGCTTGAGGGGAGATGGCATTGCCGGTTTCGCGGTGGACGTGCGAGGCGTCAATTGTTGGTTCGATGCTGGCGAACTAGGCTTTGGTCCTACTTGGCTGGGAGCTCGCCCCATGGCGGCCGCACTTGTGGGCACTGGAGTGGCCGCCTCGAGTTTAACCTCGTGCTTTGAAGGTGACGAGGTTGCAGCGACCTTACCATTTACAAGCGGGATGCTCTTCAGGTCTGGAGCCCCACTCTTATCCTCGTCCTTCACGAGGCAGGTGCGGAAGCTCTCCAAAGCGAACTCCAGCGGGTTCTCAATGGGCTCTTCAACCTGGTGAGCCTCTGCAACGTGCCTGTCCAAGGCGTTTTGCGTCGCCAACCCTTGGTAGTGATGCTGACACTCCGGGACACTACACTTAAATGCCCCACCCAAGGCTGCACCGGTCGTCCGTGCATCGGCCGGTTTTCCTGCCTGCGCCTTGGAAGTTGGCGCCGCAGAAACGGGTGTAGCTCCGGTTTGGGACTGCTTGCGTTTCTTGGGGGGAGGAAGTTTCAGCTGTTCCGGAGGAACACTACCCGGGCCATAGGCATGGGGAACACCTTGAGGAGAAGGCGCTCCAAACGGGGCTTGGGGGATGGCAGCAGCGCCAGAAACAGTCTGGCTGGAGGCTCGGCGGGCACGCTGAAGTGCTTCCTCCTGCTGTTGCAATTGCTGCAGATTGCTTGCGTTCAGGGCGGGCATGTTGGCTTGGTTGGCCTGTTGCGCAGGTGCTCCCTGAGAGACGCTAAACCGTGGGCCTGGCATCTGTTGGTTGACGCGCGCAATCATGGTATGGAACAGCCTCTTGATGGAACCAGTGTAGAGCCCCAGATATTGTGGCGAAATTGTGAACTGGTCATTAAGAGTCCAATCAGGCCCTGGTTTGAATTGCCTCATTAAGTAGACCCGCTGGAAAGCATCGTCAGTAATGAACGAACCTCACATATAATGGAAAGGGAAAGCAATCGCTCAACTCACCATTGAAAGCAAACTGTGCACATTCTTCTCTTGTCCGGGAATTTTAGTAGCCAGAAATTGAATAAGATTATCCATTTTACTTAGGTAGTCAGTGATCTCCCGCAGCTGTTGCGCCATGGTTGCCTTTTGCTCTGGCGTAATGGATACAGGCTCCCCTGGAGGAGTGTTTCTAGCAATTTCGTTGTACAACTGCTTTAACTTTTCTGGCAACTTGTTCCATTGTTCCTCTGCATGCGCTCTGCTGATGGGAACACGGCCTTGAGGTTGCTGAGATTGCTGCCGGCGTAAATGTGCCTCGAACTGTGCGCGTTGCTGGGGCGTCATAGCAGCCAACTGCTCGCGAGTGAAAAGCATATTCGCCTTTGCCTGTGTGGGGGTTGCTCCCGCCTGAGAAGGAGCGGGAGGAGCGGGTTTCTGTTCTGGAGTGGGCTGAGATTCTGTAGACTCATCATGTGGCAACTTCCTTTTCTGTGCCTGTTTTGCGACAGGCCCTTTCGCATTCTTGCCAGACGGCACAGACTGGGCCTGAGCCTTGGTAGTCGAATTTTGCTGGGGCTGCTGCGCCGTTTGCTGTGAGGGCTGCGGCTCCGGTTTGACTTGAGGCATGGAGGGCGGCACAGTAACCGGGGGCTGCGGTGCTGATAGAGATTGTTGTTGTGCCTGTTGGGCGGCAAGAGCCTGGGCCGCTCGACTCTGGGCCGCCTGTATTTGCTTCTGTCGGTTTCTATGCAGCAATTCGCGGAGTTGATCATCGCTCAGGTTCTGCACCTGACTGCCTAAACGCTGGCGGGCCAATTGAATATCTTGCGCGGAGATGGGACGCATAACCGGCATATTCATTGGCATCTGCTGCTGGCCAGCTTGGAGCTGTGGGTTCATCAAAGGCTGCGGCTGCCCCTGGAACGGTGTCGGCATCCAAGGGCCTTGTCCACCCTGTTCGGGGTTGCGGGCATTCTCTTTGGACTGAGCAAGAATCTGAGCGAGATGGAGTTTCTGCAACGCCAGCAGCTTCGTGATGTCGGCGCCTCCCAGCAGTTGCGGGCTTGTGGCCGCCAATTGCTTCAGCTGACCCCAGGTCTTGATATTTTTCGGAACAGCCGAGGAGATGTTCGGATTGTTGCTCAATATCGCGGGCGGGAAGTGCAATCGATCCATTTCTTTGACCTGTTCTGGAGACATCTCCATACCGCCGCTATGCGCACGAAGAAGTTGAAGCTTATAGAGATCCTGCTGGCGCTGCTGTTGCTGCTGTTGCTGTCGCTGTTGGACGGACATCTGACCTGGCAGCATCTGGTTAGGCTGTTGGGCACCACCCATTCCCGCAAGTTGTTGTTGCAGATTAAGAGACGCTCGTAGGTTCTGCCCATTTTGCATCTGGCCGTTCATCATTTGGCCATTGATCATCTGCTGGCCTTGACCCGACTGCGATAGATTCTGCTGCATTGGCATGGACTGCTGCGAGGCGTTTGCCCTAGCCAGGGCCTGGTTGTTTGCCAGCGCACGCCGTTGATGGTTCATGAGAAACGCGCTTAACTGTTCGTTGCTCATCGAATTGAGTTGCTCCTGGATTTGCGGGGGGAGGTTAGGTGGAATCTGTGGTCTTTGCATAGACGGTTGTCCGTTCATTTGAATGTTCCCAGGCTGTTGTCCCATTCCCTGGGGTCGGGACGGAGGCCGGACTTGCGCTGTTCCTTGTGGCGGAGAAATCTGACCTGGAGCCATTGGCCGATTCAACATGGGCATAGCCGGGCTTTGTTGGGACATTTGATGCTGCATTCGCGCGCCAGGTTGGTTTTGAGACATTGCGAATTGTACTTTGGCAGCTGCTTGCACCCGTGCTTGGTCTTGCGCTGACTGGGATTGTGGCTGTGGCTGCGCCTGGAACTGAGATGCTTGTTGAGATCTATCCTGCGGCATAGTCTGTGCATTCTGCACATGCTGCTGGGCTAGAAACTGTGGGCTTATTCCAGAGCCGTTTATATTTGCCTGCGCGCCCTGGCCAAGCTGCTGTCCGACCTGGAACATATTCTGCGGCGTCGTGAATGGTTGCTGATTCATCTGGGAGGAGCTTGCGGGCACCACAAGTTGGCCTGCCTCCTGAGAGCGCAACCCATCGGCCTGTTGTCCCTGGATGTTCTCAACATTTCCAATGAACGATGACGGGTCCAAGCCTTGCTGGCTGCCTACCGAGAAGGAGTTGCGTTGTGCGTTTATCATATTCTGAAACATATGCCGCTGTGTGTTCATCATGGGGTCGCCCATCATGGCACTGTTGGGATCAACCCCAGCACCTGGCGGGCGAATATCACCCCGATTTTTCTTGAACCTCTTCAACTGGTTGAGCGCCTGAGAGCGAAAGAAGTAAGTGATCGGGTCCATGTTTTTCCGTTGCAAATACCCTCGCTGCTCGGGCGTCATGTTCTGCAGGTTCATCTTGATTTTCTCGAGATCCTCTGGCGAGGTCTTCGAGATGATCTGACTCGCTATGCGACAAACTTGTTCGTACTCAGAAGCGGAAAGGGTGTTTAAATCGTCCGAAAGCGCTGCCCCATTCGCAGGCTTTTGTTGCGGGCGCTGTTGCTGTAATATGTTCTGATGTTGCTGCTGCGCTTGCTGGCGGTGTTGCATTGCAGCTTGTTGGCTTATGTCACCCATGCCCATCGACATTTGCTGTTGTCCGGGTAAAGGCGATGCTTGCACGGGGCGATTCATTTGCGGGTTGAATGGCGGCTGTCCCAATCCAGGCATTCCCATAGCTTGCCCTTGGGGCATCATCCCACCTTGCATTACCGCTGCCTGTCTTGCACGAGTATCGCGAATATGAAGGAGCTTCTCATTGCATTCCCTTTCGTAATCGGCCTGAGAGACGCCATGATTAGAGCCCACGTAACACAAGGTAAAGGGAAGTAACAGTATCTACCTTCTGGCCAGCCTCTTTGAATGCCTTCTGTTCGAAGGTCAAGGCAGCATGCGCAGCATTCTGCATGTCTATACGAGGCTGGATTAAACGCAGTGAGGTGATCCTAGGAGGTGATGGATTAGCGTAGGCACCAGCCACTTCTTAGGGAATGGAAGGAGGGGGAGGGGTGCAAGTGAATTTATTTGAGTCAGGTTAGTGACGACAGGGATGCGCATGGTGGGAACCTACATTTGGTACACCTTGAGTGCTCGCTCTCTGATGGGAACATCCGCTCGCCAACCGGAATATTGACCCTGTGCCTGCAGCGCCTGTGCAACTTGCTGGAGGATTATCTGGTTATTCTCAGGTTTTGTCGGAAGTTGCATTTGGCCATGCGGCTTAACTCCGCCATTCATGGCCCCGCCAACATTGGGGAAGTTTGCCGGATTCATGTCAACAACCCCCCTCAATGGGGATCGAGGAGTAGTCCGCGCAAGCCGTCCGTGGGTGTCAGCATTCGCCGGCGTCAATGCCAAGCGCTACACTATGCGATAGACGAAATTGTAAGTCAAAGTAGACGGGCGCTCTTCCAGCAGACGTCGTCGGTGCGAGAGAGAAGTGGGATGAGACCGGCGGTGGGGCCTGAGGGGGGACGAGAGAAAGGAAAACGGGAAGACGATGCAGATGAGTCTCGTCGCAGGTTGATCGCGTCCGAGACTGTTGAGTTGATTGCGGCGTGGGCTTTCGCTGTAAACCCAGGTAGGTTGATGGGGGTGAAACGAAAGAAGACGAGCAATAGGAACAAGCACGGGACGGCGGTAGAACACGGGGGACCAACGCAGCAGGGAAACAAGGCGTTCGGGCACCAGTGTTCAAACAGAGCGGTTTCGTTGGCAGATGCCCGGGGGGGAGTGGCTTGGGGGGGTTGTCAGACTAAGCAGGATTGAGTCCGGTGGATGCTGGATCAGTGACAGGGATGTTGCAGTGGCACTGGGCCAGTGAGTGCAGAGCCGTTCGTCTCGATGACTATGGAGCTTCCCGGGGCTTTAAGAGTTGGGAAGATGGGTGGCAGGACGGGGAGAAATGACGAGGTAATTTCGGAAACCTAAGCGGGAAGGAGGAAAAATGAACAAGTTAGGATGTTGCTTCGATATTACAAAAGAAGAACAAGAACAAGAAGAAGAAGAAGAAGAAGAGAAGAAAGAGAAGGGCAAAAGCATCCAGCAGGGCAGTAAATTTCCAGCGTTCTGGTTTGGCAGTGAATGAATGCAGAAGTGCGCAAAAAGCCGAACGGTCGGAAAGAGGAGGACGCTAGAGTCAAGAAGGGGATCATCATACCTGAGTTTACAGTAAGACAGGTAACCCGATAACCAGCTGCACGGTGGCGTGTTCGACAAGCGTGTCAGCTGGGAGGGCAGGATTAGATGTAGAGAAAATGAGACGAGGAAAAAGGAAAAAAAGTGCCGAAGAGAATAGTGATAGTAATAGCAATAGTTTAAAAAAGAGAGAGAGGAGGGGTGTGTGGTCAATGAGAAAGGAAATAAACAGCCAGAGAGGAATCGGTCTGAGAAACTCGAGTGGTAAAGAGAGAGTGAGTGAGAGGGTGGGAAAGGCGGAGATCGCGAAACCAGGGAATTAGACTAGGAAGGGAGGAATAGCCGGGTTATGAAGAAGGTAAAATTGAGTGGGTAAAAAACAAAAAGAAAAAGGAAAATATAATAAGAAAAGGAAATAGAAAATAATAAGATAATAAAAAAAAGGAAGGGAAATCTTTTGAAAAGAAAATATAAAAAAACAAAAAATCACAACAGAATATAATAACCTCGACAAATCCCAATATATGGATAACAAAGGGGAGAATGAGGAAGATAGAGAGGGGGGGTGTGGTTAAGGGAGATTGAAGGTGGGAGGAGGAGGAGGAAGCAGGCAAGAAATGTTGAAGATCCCGCTTGAAGGAGGGAGAAAACGAGCGGGCAAGAGGGAGGAGGAGGGCAGGCGATGCTGTGCTGGGGTTAAGGAAGTCTAAGTTTGGATGATGGTAACGGTAAGGTAATTGAGCAATTGATGGGAGTGGTGTGCCTAAGGCGCGAGTTTGGGTTAGTGTGGCCGAGAGGAGCCAGACTAACAGGTACTAGACTTCCCAAGGCCCTTCTTGGGGATCTGCCCGTTGGTGCTCGTCGTCGGTCGGGCAAGGTTAGGGAAACTTAATTAGTCCCTCAACTAGGACCAAGTGGGTATCTTTTCTACTTGCCGTAGGTCCAGAGTGGGCTGCCTGCTTAAGGTACACCCTCTTCCCGTCGCTTGGTATTTTAAAAAAAGAGATGTAAGTAAAAGTAATAGATACTTCTCCAAAGAATAATTACCAGTATGTAGTCTTAAGTAGAAGTAACTATCTAACTAACTGACTAACTAGTACTTTGTATCGAATCAATCCTCTTCTTTATTCTTTCATCCAATAAGTCAATGTATTGACTGTCCCTTTCTCAATCTTCTGACCCGGTCTCCATCCATGGATTCTTCCTCACAAGATAGAGGAAAACAGAGTTGGGTGTCGTGCAAATGACGGCTGCAGAGATGGGGGGACGACCAAAGCGGGCCATCTTTTCCTTCTCGGTACCGGTCCCCTGCTGCCCATTTCCAGTTCATCATGACTGGCTCTGACTCTTGACTGATTGATTGAATGACTGACTGAAGGTGACTTGAACTACTGACTTACTTACTTACTACTTACTAACTAACTATCCGTCTACTTACTAGTACCGTATTGGCCTGGTCCGGGTGACTGGCTGAAAGGGACGCAAGGTCTGTCAGGCCAAGAAATGTTGGTTTCGCAGACCTTCCGCATCGAATCAAATGCTTCATGTTTTTTCTTTCTTTTCCTCTCATTTCTTTTTTTTTTTTTTCCAGCTCTTTTCTTTTTCTTTTTTCACCCTACTCTTCCAATGGTCTCAATATCCCGCACAGGGGCCGACCATTCTGGTTAGTAGTAGTACACAGCCTGAAGGAGTAGTCGGTTGGTCAGGTCCCCTCCCCCCTCCACCCATACCTTCACCCAATTAGTGTGCATGAACCTTTGGAAATAAAAAAGTCTCTTTTTTGTCTGGATGTTTCCGCATTGAATACGGATGTCCTCACACCTTAAGCGACGAAATATCCACCGAGTCGGTAAGTGGTCTACCAAATGGGAGGATGTCTCTTCTGTATAATTATGAGTATTACTACGAAAGCGGCTGCCTGGTTCCATCCATAATTCCTACCGCTACTCAATCGGACTTTCTAGAGGCGCATGTGTACTCTTTGCCCCACTACTGGCAATCCCTCTGGTTCCGTGGGACGATAGCCTACCCAGGGACTAGATAGATAGCAGTCTACTAGTAGATAACCTGCACTAATATTCAAAGAGGGCGAGCTGAAGTCAGATGAACTGACTGCAATCATTCTCAGCTTGGGTCCACTGCATTACAGCCAAAGTCATGTCAACTGAAATGATCGATGTTCCTGCGTCCAAATAATTTTTATCTTTTCAAGTATGTAGGAATCCCAACAGGAGTCTGAACCAAGCTGTCTCTGTCTGTGCGGATGGAAGTGCGGTAACAAGGACCGTCCTACACAATACTTGATCTTTACGCTCCGGTTGTTGCTTTCCGGTCTATCCATTGCTAGCTCAATAAAGTGAGTGTCTACCTTGCAGACACTGAACCAAATGAAGTAATAGCACATAGCGTCCGTACGCGGCAGACCAAAAATGACTACTAAGTTCCGATGCGCGAATAGAAGCCATGGCCATCTGCCAGTCGACCGTACGACCTACTCACTAGGGCGACTGTGGGTGTCAATGCTGTCTCCCCCCCTTCCAATCCATTTTTCGTCATTTTCCATTTCTCATTTTCCATCCTTCAAATCAGATTACTATAAATGTAATCATGTTTCACAACACTTTCTTCACCTCACAGTTCCCCTGATCAAGACGAAGTCAAAGCTAACATCGATATCTCTGCGTTCAGAGATTTTGTTCATGAGCCTTGGGGAGTGTTCTTTCTACAACTAAGGACAGAGTTTGGGTGGCGGGTAGAATGAAGGTAAGGTGTTCCTTCAACCTTCAACGTAGAAAGAGGAAAGAATAAGTGAGCAGGGAAAGCGGCGGCTGAAACACGCGGTGCTTCGGGCTGGTCGGGATCAGTATTGTATTTGCATGTCGGACTGCACTTCATAGGATGAGCTATTTACCATGCCACTCTACAACTCTGAAAATATAGGGCAGTCATGTTCTAAGAGAAAAATCAAGCAATGAAATGGGATGAATATATCTCATTTCACCACAACACCCAGCGTGAGAACTTCCATCCTTCCCGTTTCAACTTCCCCCACGGGTGACCGACCAGGCACGGAGTCGATCGCAGGCACCGCCGTGATCATCCGTCCGTATCCATCGGGCTAGTGTCGAATGCGGGCAAAAGCGTCAGCCAAGTGGACCTGACTAAACAGTGCCTTAAAAGTACTCGTCCGCCTGTTGCTTCTTTTAGCAGCGGGACACGTCAGGTGATACCACGTGACGCGGGTGCTGTCGTCACCAGATGGATGCACTTTGATTAGCATCGACCAACAACGACGAGCTTTGGGAAATGAGATGATCCATAAAACTGTCCTCGTTTCCATTATCACCTCTCTGTCTGTCCGGTCCCTTTTTTCCGCGTCCTGTCTAGCCCCCAAAACTCTCTTTGCATGCTTCTGCAACCCCCCTGGATCTCTTGGGTCAAACAGTCTCTCTTTTTAAGTTGACTTACGATGATTATTATTGATTGATTGACTGATCCGATCGATCAAGACCCTGGATTTCCCCGTACTGCGACTAACTAGTTACTCCTACTACCTCCTTCCTCCGCTGCCGCATGTCGAACGCCCCTCCAGAATCGCCATGATTTCCGCATCACCGGTTCCCGTGGGGTCCAGCGTCTTTTTTACTTTGGCCCTCCTTACGATCTCTGTGCTAGTTTTGTTACTTCTGCGACGCTTTCTCACTCTCCGCGCGACTCCGGCCTACCTTTCCATCCCCGTCTTCCTTGCACTCGCCCTTCCGGCCAGTGTAGTTCTTCTAGTACCAATTGATCTAGCATCGAGCTCGCGCGATGGCGGAGGCCCCACGGCCATCTGGCTACCCGACCGTCTAATTCTCGTCTCCTGGCGCATTGCTTACTGGCTAATCTTTGTGCTGACATGGTAGGTGATGTGCAGCACGATGTGTCCGGTCGCAACCGTCACAATCTAGATCAATCACTAACGCTTTACTTCCTCTCAGGGCCATCCTTCCTTTACTCGGAGAATACATTGATTCGGGCTACCGTGATCCGAAGGGTCGCATTCAATATTCCATTCGCTCCAATGCGCGGTACCAACTGATTGTTCTGTGCTGTGCAACGGTCGGATTAATCTACATCTCGATCCAGAATGGCTTTGAATTCACCTCGATTAAGACGCTAGTGATGGCTCTTGCATATGTTTGGGGTCTGGTTCTGGCCATCTATCTGATGGGTCACGGACTTGTGTCCATTCCCCGCACGCTCTTCCGTAACTCCAACGTCAGTGGTCGTCTGCGGAGAATCCAAGCACATGCTCCGAAACTGCACGACCGTTTGATGGACGCCATTAATGACCTGGAAAGCTTGGAGTCGCAAGTTGCTCAATTGCAGCGTCGCAAAACGGGCACCGCTCGCGATTTTCAGGAATGGATTGATGAATTGGCAGAGACCTCGAACCCGCCCGAGCTGCGTTCGGGGCTCTTGGAACATGCGGAGGGGCCCGGCACTATCCCTGCCGTCATTACTGAACGTTACCTTGCGGACTTGACCCGACGTCTTCAGCGCGCTCGGCATCAGAAGGCTCGCTTCGTCGATGAGTGGGATCGCTTGGTCCTATCCGCAGCAGACATGCAGGCAATTATCAATGCGTCGGCATCTAAGAAGCTCGAGTTTATTCACTCCCCCCATCGAGCATCTTGGCTCCCGAGCCTGAACTTCCTGAGTCCCTATATGCGCTACCACCTCTATGTGCATGTCATCCCAAACGTACGACTTGCACTAGGCGCAGTTTTCTCGGCGGCCTCCGTGTGCGTTGTCTGGTCGGAGTTGGTCAAGTCCTTGGCGCCTCGGCTATCCGTTGTGACGCTTTCTATAGTTTCTTACCACAAGGAGCCTGCGCCGGTCGACTTTGGGCGCCAATTGATTGCCTCTGCTTGGCTGTTGTACATGTGCTCGGCAGCATTAGTGGGTGTCAACGACGCCAAAGTGTGGGGCAACCGTGCTTTGGTCCGCCGAAACACGTACGGGGAGAGCGCCTGTTGGTATGCGGGGCTAGTCGCCAGACTGACAGTTCCCATCGCTTACAACTTCTTGACCTTTTTGCCTGCGACGGTCCGGCAGAACACTACTTTTTACAAGTTCTTGGGCCGGTTCATTGACCTTACCCCGCTCGGAAAGGGCTTTGATTACTTCTTCCCGGTCTTCATTCTGGTGCCTATCGGTGCCACCCTATTCAATCTCTACGGTCGCGTCCAGAACATCTGCAGCTGGGGTCTTCTGGAAGAAGAAGACGATGATCTGGAGAACAACCCCGGTGGCTACGGACTAGGTGGGTGGCGAGAGGGGCGTGATCTTATCGACCGGGAGCTCAACGGCCTCGGCTCTTTGGGACTCTCCCCTCGTGGCGGTCGGTCACCTCGCCCGTCCAGTCGCATTGACGATGACACGCCAGCATTTTCCTCCTCTCGCACCGCGCTGCTGGAGAATTCTAGAACCCCTCGGGCCTCCAGAGGAACACCTGCCACGACTCCGTTGATGGAAGATGAGGATGAAGATAACTTTTTCCAGTCCTTCGCTCATCGAGTGAGGAACACATTTGAAACCGCCAGCAAGCCCCAGTGGCTGCAGGGCGACTCCTTCCGTCTTCCCAGATGGATGGGCAGCGAAAGCAATGAGGGTGATAGCGGACTGGCAAGGTGGTTTGGTGGTCGACCAGCACCTGGCGGAGTCCGACTGTAAGAACACTGACCGGTCGGTAATGTAACCTGACTTGCTGCATGGCGAAGGCGTTGCTGGTAGACACTTTTACATGGTAATGTTTATAGATGTACATAGTATACATAGCTCTCAATGACAGTTTTGCGCTTATCCTGTATACTTTGTTTGTGTACTACCCCAGCCGCTTCACATCTAGCCACAGATAGTATCCAGCATCATACTGATTTCTCAATGCAGTACTAGCGATACCCAACAAACACCATGAATATCACAGTAAGCATCAGCATCAACCTTTATCTTCATACTATCTCATCTCATCTAGCATGATCTCTCCCGATCACAACGGCTGCGGGGAACCCTAGATACTAGATAACCTGCTACCCACTCACCTGTTTTAGTGCCATGTCGATCACGCTGCAGGAGTCAGGGTAAGCAAGCAAGCAAGCAAGCTAAATCCCCCATGTCCAGCATGATACAGCAGGTAGGTAGGTACCTGACACCTGCTGGTCATATCGAATGCATATGCATATCACTTAGACAAGGGGGCGTGCTTACACAGGATGGATGGATGGATAGATAAGCCTGATGAAGGTTCTAGGTCATGGTAAGAGAAATAATACTACTTTGTCACCTTGGTATCCTCTAAGCTGATAAGTTACCCCAGATGAAGAACTCGATAAAATACATACACACAAGGCTTAACCTCTCCAAACCTACTACTTAGAATAAAAGTCTATCCGGTCGCTGTTCTCGAGCCAAAGTTTGATCTATTTACTGTATTCTGCTGGTACCTAACTATCATACTGAACGAGCTCTGACGGGCGGGGTCAATGTCCTGTCCTCGTATTTGTAGCGTTAGTCTGACATGGATAGCCAGACTTAGTTCTGGATCATGTCGATCGGTAGGTAAGTAACTTTCATTGTTCACCTCTAGAACTGTTTTTGCCACTCAGCAGCTGAGGGTTTGCTGCCTATAAGGCTCCAAGAGCAAAAAATAAAATAGAATAAGATAAAGGGTTGGTGTTATTTCTGCGAAAATGAAACCCAATCTGACGTGCGCGGTGCATTGCCACGTGTGGTCGATCAAATGGGCTGGTAGCCTATGATGAAGAGGGGGTAATGTAGGGTCTTGTGTGTAGGTTGGTTGTGTTTGGTCTGTTGGGTGTTATATTGAAGTACTTTGATGCGGTATATTTCTCCAGTGGTGATATCGTAGTATAGATAGTATGAGTATGCCTGGGCGGGAAGAATATAGATTTGAGTCACTGGCTTGGCAGATTATGCTTTTCCCCTGTAAGCCTTGAAGACCACATGGTGTGGCTCGTGTTGTTGTTTGTCGTGTGAGGAGGAAGGGGAAAAAAGCAATGAGAAAGGCATAGCAGCCTTGTCAGGAGATCATTAGTAGTAGTACCTACTACTGGAGGATATATGCCTGTCTGCCTTGAGCAACAAGTAACTAGTAAGTAGTAACACCAAAGTAAGTTGACTGCGCAACTCCGATTGCGGGCAGCAGCAGCTCCACCGCAGGATTTGCGGCTGCGGCAAAAAAAAAGCCCTCTCCGCCTTATCTGCCTGGTCCGGAGCTCAAGTGGCCATCTTCCATGACCTCAAACACGCCCTTCCCCTGTCGTCATCCCCCTTCATTGCCTCGTGCCCTGGCCGTCAATCCATGAGCCAGCTGCTCTCGCACATTTCTCTGTCCTCGCTGGGCGAGACGTGTGCATCCTACTTAGACCACGTCACCACCAACCTTCCTCCGTCCTTGCACACTCTCCACCATCAACTCATCGCCACGCTCTCATCAGCCAAAGACTCGACTCCCCTGCGCCTGCTTACGCCCTGGCCCGAACTACTAGCGGACCACCCCGACGGCGCATACACCACACCCGTCGCTTACACCCTCATCGTCTGTACAATTGTCATTCTCGTCATGTCCTGGCGCACTCCGTTCGCCAACTTCTGGCGCCGCGGTTACACCAACGTCGACAATACCCCCCAAGTCACCGACAACGACTACAGCTACATCACACAAGATGATATCGTCAACCCACCCGCGAACACGTATCGCAATCAATACGCAGGAGCGGAGGATACCGAGCCCGACACTCTTATTCTGAAACACCGCAAGGAAAAGTACGATCTGCACTTCCCGGCTTACGCTATCAACGACGGCGCCCTCAGCGTGGGTCAACTGAGACAGCGGGCAGCGGAGGCGACGCGCACCCCTGATCCGAAGCGGATCAAACTGCTCTACAAGGGGAAGTTGTTGGACAACGACTCGCTGCCGTGTCGGTCGGAGGGTCTCAAACAACAGTCGGAAGTGCTATGTGTCGTCTCCGGAGTGGAGCCGGGGGAGAGCTCGCCTAGTGAATTGTCCGAGGCGGAGGCTGACAGGAACGCGGAATCCGCCCGTCAGGAGGGATCTGGTCGCAAGAAGTCGGGCAAGAACAAGAAGCGCAACGGCAAGAAGAAGGGCAGAAAGCAGGCCGACGGCTCAACTACCCTCCCACCTCCCGCCGAAGAACCTCCGCGCCCGTCCAACGGAACCGGCATGCCGCCCCCAGCACCCAATTTGAAGTCGTTCAACAACCCGATCGACCAAGTGAACGCCCTGTCGTCGTACCTGCAGCGTGAGCTTGTTCCTCTCTGCGAGGACTACATCACGAACACACCGGCGGATGCCAAGTCGCGCGAGTTCGAGTATAAGAAGCTGACGGAGACGATCCTGGCGCAGGTTCTTCTGAATGCGGACAACATCAACCCCGACGGTGTGCAGGAGATCCGTGATGCGCGTCGGGCTCTTGTCAAGTCAGCTCAGAACGCGCTCAACAGTCTGGACCAGGTCAGCAGGACATAAGACGTCGCGGCTGGCAAATAATGCAACTTTTGCTTTTTCTTCTGTACATGAGAGATGGGAATATTCCAGGGAAAGATGATCATAATAATACAACGAAATAGAGAACACATTAACCTTTTGCTACCTTCATTTGCTTTGCTTTGTTAGGGTCTGTCTGTCGGGTGCCATCCAGGAGCTACTTATCTAGAACAGATAGACCTCCCTCGTGCATCGAGACCATGACCACGACCACGACTGAGTTCATGCTGCACATACATACAAATGCTGCGGGTTTTACCTCTGATTTGCATGGGACGGCGTCCGGATGATTAAATTGAATGGGCTGGTGGTTGGGGGTTGGTTGGTTCCTTGCAGGATATTGATTGCGATAGTCCGTACAAATCAGTGTGTTTCTACCACTTGCTCACTTACATATATTTCACACATACATACACATGTGGACCACGTGTTCAAGTAAGTAAGTAGTATTAGTAGTGTTCGGATGCGGTGAACTACTAGATCATGAGCGCAAGATACTCTCCGAGCCAACCACAACACTCACTCATGGTCGGTCAGGTCAATCAAGGATATCCTGGTTCAGACACAACCCTCAAAGTTCAGGATGACCTTGGTCAGAACAAACCTTGACGTTGATGTTGAGCCTGTCAGCGCCCGTGGCGTAGTCCACGGAGCAAGCCATCTGGTGATTAGAAGTTGCTGGTTGGTAATGGGCGATACTGGTACTGTTTGGTCATGGATTGGGTTGGGTAGGGTAGGTAAAGGCAAGGAGATTGTTACAGGGAAGTTGGAAATTTACCCGACTTTTGATGGTGAGGCTATCAGATTGGAACTGGGGATAACAACTTCTATTTATGATTATTATTGTTATTATTTTTTTGGTAAGGAATTGAGTTTTAATTCTGTCTCCGTCAAGATGCAGAGAAAGTGATAGAGTCATGGTTTCTTATTTTAATCCCGCGGGACTGTAACTGGCAGGGATTGGGTAGATCATACTAACGGTGTCTACTAGTAGTACAGCAAGTACAGTAGTAGTGGAACTGGAAGGTGTGTGATGGGATCATGGGAGATCTACTTCCTACTTACCAGGCGGATCCTGAACTAGTGGCCTCGCTTAAAGATGCAAGATGGGAGAGATGTATCACAACGCAATCGAGAACAGAAACTCAAAGATGTGACTTGAAGTAGCCTCGGTTGGCGTTCTCGATGTCATATCGACCCGTCACTGGGGAAATTGCATATTGTATCGATCCAGCTCCTCGGTGCTCAAGGCAGACAGGCAAACAATAGGCAGAACTTGGATCTCAATATACTGAATTCCCTCAATTTATGAGAAAAAAAAATATTTACAGTATGTAGGGAACAAGATGGAAGCAATGTGACGGCTCAGCTGCAGGGTTTGGCAAAAAGTCCAGAAATACTGTAGATAGACTGCACACATGGACGTTGACGGGGAAGACAGGGAAAAAAGAACAGTTTTCGGTGCCAGTCAGTTGGGTAACGATGGATCGACAGTGAGATGTACTCCTTTTGGGTTTAGTTTAACACAGTTTAGTTCTCGAGACAATTGCTGGGAATTGTTCTTTTCTTTTTCTAGTCGGCGATGGTCGGAGTGATTGGCCAGACCAGTTCTAGGCTTGTCTGATAGTCACCGGGAAGCTAATCCTGAAGGAGATTGGGACTTTTTTCCCCCCGTGTCTCTCTCTCTCTCTCTGTTCTGCCTTTCTGTCTTGGTTCTCGACATTATTCTCTCTCTCTCCCTCCGTTTCTCCTCTTCTCCTCCCCTCTCATCTTTTAGCCCTTCTTCTTCCCTTCCATTCGGCTTCTTCTGGGTTGGGACCCTTGGACAGTGCACTTCCTCTATTCTTTTCTTCCTCATCTTATACCTACTTACTATCTCTATTGAGCTTTTCTTTAATCAGCTTCCCCCGGAGTGTCAACGAATCAGTTTTGGCGCCACGGGTCCAGCCACATCTCTTTGCAACCACTCCTTTTCCTTGGACTTCTTCCTTCCCCTCCTCCTCTTCTTCCTTCTCCGCCTCTCCTCTTTCTTCCTCTTCTCCTCCTCCCAGTCGTTTGACTCTCGACTCTTCTCTGCCCCTCATCGAAGCTCATCATTTTCTCTCCTATCCATTTAACTTCCCCCCTAATTCATCTACCTCGACACTATTCTATTTTCTTCCAATCCCCCGACCGGTCCTGATTCTCGGATCCCGACACTGCTAGCCGTCTGCCAACCGCCGTCGGCCTATAATAGTGCCCAGCCCGGAGTTACGTCCACGGTACCCATCCCGCCGGTCCCTGACTTCCTCTTCCACCCCCCGGGAATTACATATTGCGCTGCAATTTTAAGGCTCCGGCTTCTCCACTTCCCTGGCTGTTTACGATTTCCTCCTTTCGGAGCATCTCTCGTGTTCCGCTTCTTCCCCCCCTTTCCCACCGACTCGTGCCCTCTACCTCCCAACCACCTACCCCTCACATCGTACATACACTTGTTGGAGTCTCGGCTTAGGGGATCTTCGAGACAAACGGTCCAGCACGATTGCTGTTTCTGGTCTGTGCGCTACTGGGATGGCCTGATCGGGGAACAAGACGGGAAGGGCAAAAAAATTATTCACCTAGTGATCAGACTCTCTTTAATCATCCTGCACGCACCTTCGCCGCACCACGGGTTCCAGCTGGCCTGGCCTTGACTGAATCTTAATAATTGCTGTTGGAATGGCGGGGACAGCTACCGCGACTTACACGACAGATGTTTGGACGTCACCCAGCATAGATGGGGGTCAGTGGGAGTACGCTGTCCCGATTCGACAGGATGTAAGTGTGTTACACTCCCGACATACCTTTCTGCGGTGCTCTGATGCAATCGCGCCGATCGTTCTGGCCTTCGCGGGCCAAAAGCCGGACTGGCATGCTAACCTGGGTTTCGGTAGAGTACTAAGCATCGCTCAAAATCACGGTCCTCCCACGATTCACACGCCAGGTCCAGGGAGCGTAATTCCAAGGGCTCTCGCAGCTCCTCGCTATCGCGTCACGCCTATGCTCACGAGCACTTGACCTCCCGGGGCCGCCCACAAGTTAGCCACAGCCGACGCGGAAGTGAAGCAGGCAGCTCACGCTCAATCTACGGACACGATGTAGCCAGTCGTAGCGCCGGCAATGTCAAAGACTCGACGGATTCTCTTTATCGAAAGGGGTCGGTGAGGCACGGCGAGTGGCACGAGGGAATGGGCATGTATACGGACGAGATCGACCAGGACAATTGGATCCATCGCGACAAGCTGGCCAAGATTGAGAGTGAGGAGCTGCAGCAGGCTGCCATTCTGCTACAACGTCGGGCGGGTGAGGGCAACAAGACGCGCACAAAGAACTACGACTCGTATGGAACACCTGCCAGCTCCCCACCGACCGAGCAACTGGAACCCTGGCCCAGTTTGCACGGCGATTCCCAGCTCCGGGAACATAGCGGGTCTCCAACCTTCCCAGAAGAAGGTGAAGAGCGTGGAAGGTGGGATTCTCGTCGACAGGAAGAGGGCATGGCCAATGGAGCGGCTGGCTTCTACCGCAACCCCGGACTTCGCAAAAGCTCTTCGCGGATACCCATTCCCTCGGGTATCCCAGTACCGGTCTCTCCCAATCCCGAGAACGGCGGACGGGAATTCTCCAAGCAGCGCAGCCGCGCGAATACCAACGGGGATGACGATACTTTGTCCTTCGGGATGCCCCGTCGGGCTAGTGAGCCGATGTCGGTGGACTCTGCCCAGAACATTACTCCGGCAGGAAGCCGGCCTGGCAGTCGCGGGAACACCCTACAAAATGCGGCCGGTAGGAAGACCACCAAGGGCGGTGCTACCAATCGCAAGACGTCGGCTCCTCCGTCGACTACACGAAAGGCGACCCCGAGAAGCCGGGCACCGTCTAGTACGTTGCGGGCCACGAAAGCCGCTGAGAATCGTCCCATTAACCGGCCGGAAGGCGATCCTCCGTGGTTGGCGACGATGTACAAGCCCGATCCGCGTCTTCCGCCTGACCAGCAGATTCTTCCCACACATGCACGACGCATGCAGCAGGAGCAGTGGGAGAAGGAAGGCAAGACGCCTACCACGTATGATCGGGAGTTCGCTCCGCTAGCCATCGGGCCGGATGGGCCAAAGCCCTCTGAGAAGCCGGCACCCAAGGAAGAGGAGCCGGAGCCGGAGCCGATCGAACAGAACGAAAAGGTGGAGAAAGAAGAAGTGCCAGAGCAGAAGACCCCGAACTTGGAGACACCGTCCAAGGAGTCGGGACGGCCGAACTCGGGCACGGGCTACAGCACGATGCCGCGGGTACATGAACCACCACAGGCGGCGCTGCAGCCAAAATGGAGCCCGCCAGTGGTGACTGCGCAGGAACCGCCGCCGAAGGAGAAGGGCTGCGGATGCTGCATCGTGATGTAGGGGGAGGACGCATTCGTTTTGAGTGGCATATGTCCGTCATTTAAGATACCTATTTCCTGCATTGTGGATTTGTTTTTTCAGCGAGCTGGGTGGTGTTTGATCTGACTAGGATTTTAATAGCTATCCACCTTTTACTTCTTGTCGTTCCTTGGAGACTTTTTACTCTCATTTGATTCCCTATCTGTTGATTTCAGTGTTTTGTGCACCTGCATTGAGCGGTCATTACGACATCACGCGTCTTTCCTTGAACATGCATTGATTTTCTTTGTGCATATCGTTATAGACAAAGTTCACAATTATATTAAATATTTATTTCAATTAGTATACAACAACCAGTATACATCCAACAATATACATGGTTAAGTGACCGTTCTAGAACCCCCCATATAACCCATCATTAATAAGCCACCCCCCAGCACCCCTCATTACATAATCACCCTAGCGCACCTTGCGTAATCCGACCATCCGCTCTCCTCATTCCATCATTCATCCATTCAATTCATTAATTTATTCCATCCTATCTGATCGATTCCATCATCCCGCTGAAACCTTGATTAAACCCATTCC